ATATATATATATATATATATAGATGGATATAGGGGATGTAATTATAAGCATAGCAGACCAGGGCAGAAAGAGCAGTGACGAGCAGAGGAGGAGGGGCATGGCATGGGGTTGGGCTAGGGGCACGTCTTTTAATTCAAAACCCTATGTGGCTGGCTGGCTGGCTCGTCAGACTTGATGGTGACGTGGCTGCTGTTGAATATGGGAAATGTGTCGTCATCTTTTTCCTTGAGTAACTATTTTGTAAACTTAGGTAGTGTGCCCATTGAGAGACTGAGATTCTTTCTGGCCCCACCCCAACAGAAATAACGATTCTTGCTAAAGTCACCCTCTTTCAAACTATGGTGTTACACGAAAAATGTGAGTTCGGCCGGTTGATTAAAAAGACAATCTGCTAATTCTATTACGCTCGAGTTTGATCCCTAGTTTCGTACACACAACAATTTTGTTAAAAAAAGAAAACTATAGTGTTGTATGGGACTTGGGACTTTGAACAATTGGAAAAAAGAAAATGAATTAGAATGTTTTAATTTAATTAGTAAGTAATTGTGTGAATCTGACAACGCAGTGTGTACCGAGGCTATAGTTCTTGATTGATTTGATTACACATGTTTGGATGATTCAATTCAAATTGAATGCAACCAGTCTCAGTACGGCTGGTTACTAGTTGGTGCATGCTAAATACCAACCATGCATGAATATTTTTGAAAATGGATTTTGAGATTTGATCTCGTGCAGCGAAGAGTCAGAGAGGAGGACTGGGACCAGTGACTTCACCATGCCACGTGGTACGGCCATCATGACATACTTGCTGACTCACTCCACCACCACACCACACCACACCAGGATCACAAAACACAGAATCCATCAGGTGACGTGTGTGTGTGCCTGGTTTTCTCGCAAGCATTTCAAATATATCTACCATGAAACGTAAATCTCTCTGAATAATGTCATAAACCAGATGGGTAGTTAGAGACTTGACATAAAGGAAATGTGCCAAAGATGAAAATTTTGCAAACATTTTCTTTTGTTAACTACTGAAAAAATGACAATAAAGAAAAAGATGTTCTTCATGTGGGTTTTTTTTAAATATTTTTTATTTACAGTGTGGGGTTTTATTTTGTTAAACTTTGAGCTAATAGTAGCTAATTATAATCTAACTTTTCTGTACCAGTTTAGATGTTTATTTAGTTTGAGTTAAAGATCAGTCTGATTTGCAAGCTCATCAGTATCTTTATTTTCATTTTTCAGTTTCTTGGCTGTCTCCATATCATTATGATTCTGAAGGTTCATAGATTTTGCAGGTTCTTCATTTATTTTAGACAGATGTGGTGCAAGATATATATTATTATTATTATTGCAAGCTGATTTTATAGCCTTGCAGTTTGTAATAGCATAGCATAGGCAAGGATCTTCTCTCCCTCTTGTCCTGGCATTGAATTGCCTTACAGAAATTTTTGTCTTCCTATTAATGTAGAGGACCAGTTTGTGGTTAAAAAGCCTTGCAGAGGACCAGTTTGTGAACTGGTGTTTTAATTGCAATTTAAAAAACATACAAGTGTTTTAGATTCATTTCTTACACTTACACCAAATGAGTTGAAAAAGTACCTTATTTTCTCTAATTTCATATACAGAAAGGTCCAAGTCTGTCAAAATTTTCAAGGGTACTGACTTTTTATTTATTTATAATGAACTACCATTCTTTAGAAACAAACCCAGTAATGAATATGATTTTGCAACATTTGCAATGCTTTTAAGGGTGCATGATATGATTATGACCAAACTTATGCCAACCCAACGTGAGTTGGATGAAATATCAACCAAATGCAGAAACCATTCTGACATGTTGAAGTAGACAACATAACCATAACCATACAGATATATCCATTCAGCCAAAATATAAACATACATACTGAGTCTCCATGAGCTCCTGCTATTGGCTACTGTGACTTCAAAATGTCTAAACGTGCTCTTTATAGCAACTACATAACTTAATAGATAGCTAAGGTGTTTTTGAGAATCTATTATCCCCATCACACAAAGGACCAGCTCATGAACATGAATGCCAGGCAGTGATTCGAATCATCGTCATTAACAACTTTCCATGCAACAGCTTGATCATAGGACACTGGCCTACCCATGCTGGAGGCACATAATCCTGCTGGCAGATATGCGAACCCCTAAAATTTGGAAAGAATCAGAGAACCTTTGTTAGAAACCTTAAAAGAACAAAACAGTTTCACCTTTACAAACCAGGCTGAGATTTGTTTTTAATCCTCTTCTGAACCCACCAAATCAAATAGTTTAATCTATAGGTATAGTTACCTGCTGCATGATTTTGGAGAACTCCGAGCAGAGAATTTTCCGTCCAGCTTCATCTAGAATCTTGTCAAGCATGATATCCTGGAGGGCCACAAGAGTAGTTTCAAGCATGTCAAGTCCAGCCTGGTTTGCAAAGGTGAACACTGGAGATGCCTGCAATTAAATTTTCAACAAACATGT